CTACAATTTTTCAGTGTCACCCCATAAGAAATTAACATTAATATGCACTATTATTGCTGCTTCATCAAGTTCCTAGTTGCACTGACTCAGAAAAGACTACTTTACCAAAAGTCGCAGGTACCGTCCTGGCAGTTGTGATCTTTGGAGGTGTGAAGCTGGGAGGCCTGACCAGTAACTTCATCTGCTGGAGAGCCCTTCTGGTATCCTGCCCTTTATCCGCAGGCTCACTGGCTAAATAAAAACGTCACTTCAGAAGAACCCTGTTCATTTTGAAAGAGTAGCTGCCTTTGCTCATCATGAGCTTTACTGTACTTCCTGCCTAGGCATATTTTACAGTCTTGAGAGGCGGAGAAAGGAAAGGAGGCTGTTTCCCTTTTCTTAACTGGACTTACTAAGTAATTAGTTTCAATTCTGCTTTTAGAACAACACGGTCTGTGAGATTGTCACTAGTTTCTGAGAGGAATGTATTTTAGCTTGGAGGGGGGATCATTATCTATGAGGAGACCAAATTTCATTGTTCTTGCATCTTACGGGGATGTGTACAGAAGAGAACGAATGTTTGTACTGAAGCTGCTATGTGATACCGCTCTTGGCTAATAATAAACAGAAGAACACAGAAAGGTCTAGAATAAAGAAAACCCCAAATGGTGATAAACAAATGATTTGCCATCCTTCATATTTTTTCCCTGAATGCACAGAATTGCATTTTAGTTAGAATGTATTACTTAAGAATATAGGAGCCATTTCCACTGTAAAGTGCCAAAACCTGTTTGTCAAATATATGCCTTCTGTCAAATATAAACAAACATGATCTCTTTAAAATGCTGCTTTTGCTAATACTTCTACCTGGGTTTTCATTTGAGGAACTCTTTTCTTAAAGCCTCACAAATACACATCAGAATAGTCAAAATAAGTAGGATCTCTCCCATACAAATGTGCTGTTTGTGGCATCAGGGCATGAGGGATGCCAGCACCGTCCTGTAAGGTCTGACCCAAAGTCTGTGGATGTCCTGAAGAAAACTGCTTTGATGTTGGTAGCCTTTGGGTTAACTGTGTAGCATATCAAAAGCAAAGCCTGGGTACATGAGCCTCCTGGTGCTTTTTCTAGATTTGCTAATATTAGGCTGTGCTCACAGATGCTTGAGTTTTTGCTTTAGATAACCTTGGCCACCAGTTTGATGATGTACTTCATTTTATGCTATGCTTTCTCTATGTGTGTCCTAGCTGGCACTTCCTGGTTTTGGCTGGGGTGGAAAAGGAAATAATGTGAGAGACAGTCTTTGCAACCCATTTCACACTCTCCGATGTCAGGAAGGGCTGGAAGTAGCATGAGGGAGCCCATTCTCACGCTATTTCCTGCCGCCGGCCGTGCCGGCTTTTCTCCCGCCGCCTGCCATTTCGGGGAAGGAGAGAAAGCACGGGGAGGTGGCTGGTGTAGATGCAGTCATGTTTCTTGATCTTCAGCACCAGCAGAGCCACTCCGATAGCTTGAAACTGTGCCAGGCTGCTTCAGGAGAGTTTTATGAGAAGTATTTTTTAAGGTGTTTGGTTTTTAAAATACTTATCAAAGAAGGGGGAGGACTGCAGCTATTAACCAACTGCTGTGCAGGGCTGCTAAAGGATCAGCAGATGTAGACACAC